GGTTGTGGTTCAAAATTGCCCATTTTGATGGGAATTGCCCAGGCAGTAGGAGAACAAATTTCCATCATAGTATTTCAAAACTGTATCATACTGTCTGCACAATTAATGCTTTTCCATGTTTCTACATTGGAGTTCCTCAGGAGAAAAGGATTTACAAAAACCCAACTTCCTAAGGGTAAAAGTTTGTGAAACATGGAATTCCTCAAAGGTGATTTTATACTTGCAATCCCTTATGGGTAAGTGTTTTTAACCATGAATTATTCAGGGTATAACGACAGCGGGTGTGCAGAAATTACATGGAATAGCAGTTCAGATAATACAGTAAAGAGTCAGCCATTAAATAATATGAAAATATCTTTAGGGGCACTAAAATATTAGAACAATATGGAAGCTCTGAATTGGCCTTGCAATTCTATAATTGCTACGTAAATTGGGCTATTCCATTCAATATCCATAACACCCCTATCGAAGACCTTGGGATTCTTCAGGGATATGGTAAAACCTTTGTCCTCAATAGGGGGGTAATAACATCTTTTAAATGAATAACCTAATTTGGTAATTTTGTTACTTTTGTATCCCTCATTGAAAATATTTGGGCACATTCCAGAAATCACTACATACTACACAAGATTTAATATCTATATCAAACCACCTTGACAACACCACATTGTCATAAATTAAATGTACTCTAGATTCCTAATACACGAGGCATTTTTTCCTTACGTAAAAAGGACAAGCCCAAGAGCAGCACAAACAGAAGCGTGGAGGTCGCCAGCCAAGTTGGAAACATTATACCAAGACATTTCTTGAAACGACGCAAGAACACACGATCCAATTTTGTGCTAAAATATGAACAAAACGCCTCAGAATGAGAGATCAATGAATTGAATGAAACTGAAAGTAAAATACTCACCTCCTACTAGCAGCCATGTTTTCAGCATATTCTCCGTTAAAGAAACGAAAACGCCCGCAATATTGTCAGCTGAACGCTGTGTACTTCATGTTACTGGCTAACTGGCATGTTATCAACCCAAAGTACCGTCGTTTGCATCCAACCATGAACAATCGGAGCAGCCGAGTAAACGCTACATGTTAAATGATTGTATGGAAATCTTGTTTTGTGGTTACTTTCATGTGAATTTAACACAGTTTCAAACAAAGCAAAACAGACCTCTAGGGAAAACAAGTTAGAACTGATAAAGCTAGCCAGTATAAATACAGTTAGTTTAGGTTTCTCCTGTAGTAACACTGGATCAATAAGAGATGACTCTTACTGGACATCTAGGAAGAATAGTTTAGAACTGATAGAGCTATCCAGTATCAATAAAGTTAGTTTAGTTTAGGTTTCTCCTGTAGTAACACTGGTCACTGGATCAATAAGAGATGACTCTTACTGGACATCTAGGAAGAACAGTTCTTAGAACTGATACTGTCTGATAGAGCTATCCAGTACCAATAAAGTTAGTTTAGGTTTCCTCCTGTCATAACATTGGATCAATAAGAGATGATCCTGACTAGACCTCTCTAGGAAGAACAGTTTAGAACTATCCAGCATAAATAAAGTTAGTTTAGTTTAGGTTTCCTCCTGTAGTACCTCTAGGAAGAATAGTTTAGCACGCAGTTTAGAACTGATAGAACTATCCAGTATAAATAAAGTTAGTTTAGTTTAGGTTTCTTCTTGTTGTAACACTGGATCAATAAGCTAGAGATAATCTTTGCTAGGCTTTGCTAGGCCTTGCTAGGCCTCCAGGAAGAACAGTTTAAAACTGATAAAGCCAGTGCCTTTTTTAAGGAATTTTCACTGGGGGGGGGGGGGCAAACAGGAAAAAAAGGCAGAACGAAAAATATGAGCCGTCGAGGTTTGGCGAACGCGCGAGTTTGAAGAGAGATTTTGTAAAACTTTAATTTATTAACTTCAGCTATATTTTACTTTAAACAACAACTTCAACTCTTTCTAGCTATAGTCGTACAGCTATAACCAGTGGCGTAGCCAAACCTTAATTTTGCGGGG